TAAAGAGTTACTGTACCAATAGATTACGGTAGAAGATGTCCTTACAGATATTAAACTACGCCATGAACAATATAACGATGTTGAATCGGATCACTGGGCAGAATGAAAGCTTTAATCATTTTTGCGACAGTTTTTGTCAACTCAACGAGCCAATTCGACAGTTCTACGTAAGTACTTCCTCTGATTATGTCAATGTTCTCAATGGGATAGACGAATAACTGTACTCGATACAGTAGATTGAAGATACATTAGAAGGGGGTGTGAATTTATACCACCCTCTTCTACTTCTTGCTAACTTCGGGTCATTTATTCGTCAGTAGAAGGGAATACAGAACACTAATTTCCTCAGGGAGGCTACATTATACTTCAGAAAAGAATTTTCCGATAAACTGTGGCCAGATCAGATGGCTGTTAGCACTGGCTTTTTTTTTGAAAACTTCCATCGCCCCTGATCAAGGTCGAGTGGGATCGAACTTTCAAATCTATGTCGATTCTTCCACACCATTACACCGTAGACCTTCTACCACAGACCTCATGATGCCCGTTAACTGCCTCAGAGAACTTTTATGACCTCTTTTCGTGTCGTTTGCAATTTTACAGAAGTTCGCTTCTATTTTATTATTCTTTGAACCCTTTTAGAATGGTTACGTGATCCTCAGTGAGCCTGGCGCTGAGCCGACTTCTCGTATCAAACTCAGCTACCCGATAAGTTCTGTACTTGGTCGAAAATTCAGTTTACAGGTAGGTAAATGCTCTGAGCGAGTTTATAGTAAAGGGGAAATGCGGGATACTGTATTTTGAGAACTACTGTATTATTTTCTATTGCGTTTTAAGTTTCGAAGCAAAAGGAAGTCTACCTGAAGGTCATTTTTGAACAGTGGTGGTTGATTTGCCTTTTCTGTCTTCATATTTTCCCTTAGCGGATACTTTCAGAGACCGTTCATAACAGCATCTTTAAATGTTACTGATCAGTACGTGAAAAATCGATAGAAATGAACTTCCACCACCGCTATGTTCACCAACAATAGAGCTTAGAATCTTCCAGAAACCGGGTCATTACATATATTGCCATGAAAGCCGATAGTTCCAATCGATATCAATCAATAAAAATTGGTTGTAAAGTGTTTTTATGTATGTGACTGATTTTTCAGCCCAACTTCTTTGGTGTAGAGCTGTATAACGACTCTGATGATGAAATTTCTCGAATATTGGGTGGTCCGGACCTGATTGAATCAGGTACGGTAATTCGTTCAATTATGATAAGAGCCCTTGAATGAGCACAAATCAAAAGGAAAGTTTGAAAAAATGAAGGAACGATGGAATGTTGATGGAACGGAAGGAATTGTTGAGTGTAAAGCCATTAAAGACTTTTAAGCCAGTCAAGCCTTTTTTGAATTCTGTATTGAGCTGTTTTAGGTGATGAGCATCGTCAATCTTCGTCAGGTGAAAAATTTTTCGTTTGGTAGACCTAGGTGATAGTTGTGCCGTGCATGTAGTTCTAACCAACGTTCTTACCCATACCGATCATCTAATCTGGGCTGTCTAGACAACTGCTGTACATGACTAGGAGTCTAGATGGAAGTGAGGGAAATACCTGATGCGCGCTGTGCTTTCTTTTGCTCTTTTGAAAGTAATCTGAATGATGGCCTTGTTACCTGTAAGGGAAAGATTTGGTAGGCGCTAATATGTGCATGGCTGCCACTTTAGAGTTTCAGGCTCACCCACAAGGTTACAGAAGCTCAGTGGACCTCTTTAGCTTAGTTTTTGAATCCGAGTATGCGACTGTAACATAGCGCACCACTCAGGA